CGACACTCCCGTGAGCGCCGCGGGCTTACTTAGGCCGTTCATTCGGTAAGTGAAAGCGCGGCTGAAGATTCCCACCCCGCATTCCAAGACTCCCTTGGCCAACACCCCTTGGTTTACAACCACTGTTACGCATGAAATTCTGTGGTTTGCAGCAGCGGGGACGAGGCTGTGAGGGGCCACCGTCCCTGGCTTAGGTCTGGTGCGGAGGGTGGGAGGATGGGGGTCAGACAGGCACGCGCCCCCCTGCACCCGCGGCGCACCTGCTGAGGGGGGCTGGCGCCCAGGCGAGCAGACCGGCCACACGGCGCTGCTGGAGGTGTGGGGCAGGTGGGTGACGCCCTCAGCACGAGACGTGGGGGGACCACGCAGGGAAAGTGGACATGCAAAGTGGCTTCTCGATGAAGAAGCGAATCACCAGAAAGCCCTCAGGACCCTGACACAATCGCCACAGACGCGCCTATAATTCTGACCCCACAGCCACCAGCACCGCCCACCCCACAGCGAAAGCTCGCAGCAGTCTGGAGTCGGGCCGTGTCAGCGGCACCGCCCGTGTGGCATCCACGGGGTTCCTCTTCACGTGGGGCGCATGTGGCCTTCAGAGTGCGTCCCTCAGGGGACAGCACAGGGCGCTGTGGCCAGGCCGCCCTCCGGCGTGGGACTCGCGAGCCGCCCTCCGCCCCATCTCACCACCGCATTGCGCTCCACTCTGGCCCGGATCTGGTCGACTTTGCCTTCTATCACCCGGGGAAATATTGAAGAATCTGCTCCTTTGCAGAACAGATAGATTTCTCCTATAAAGTGAGGAGAGAAACAAAGACATTTAATCATACTAGAGGGAAGACTAGATTATTCTTCACATTGTGCTTTTATGAAGAAACAAAAACAGGAACACCAGCGCTGAGACCGTCCTAGGGATTTCCTGAGACCTGTTACCACGTGCAGTCAGGAGAAAGTTAAATCGTCCTTCCCGTGGCCTTAAAGGTCACGGGGAGTTGAGGACCAGGAAGAAACCCAGTGTCACCACTGCTGGGTGGCCCCCGGGGGGGCGGTAAGCACACGGGGGCGTGGCCAGCCTACACGCAGCCCCACGCGGAGATGCTGCAGCTGGGTGTCCATCCTTCGCACCAACAAGACCCACAGGACGCCTGTTGTGCAATGTCCCCCACACCTCAAGTCACGTCCTGACGGCTTCGCACGAGCTTGTGTGGCAGACACATGCTTCCCCCCGAGATAAACCAATTTTCTGTTCCAGGTAAGCAGGGAAACTCCAGCCAAGACCAAGAGGCAAGAACAAGACAGAAGACACCAGCTCTGGTCAAGAGGCCCCCGCTCCTGGAGGCTCCTCTTCCAGCCACGAATCTCCGGGCCCGGAAAGTCATGTGGCACTTCACCAGGCCGGCTTTGTGTGTGCGCGGCTGCTGGACAGGTGGGACAAGGGACGAGTGCGCCTGGACAAGGGCGCCTGAACTCCGCGGCGGCGTCTGGAGCCCCACTGACCCCAGAAGGGACTCACTCCTGTGGCACACAGTGCGACATCCGAAACAGCACAACTGATGCTCGCGAATGTCCTGAGACTAAACCAAGGCTCAGGTCAACCTACGGCCAGAAAGGATGGCATCTAGTGACGTCCAGGCCGCCAGCACATGGGGCTGGGCTGGGGCCCCGCAGGGCAGGGCGCCCGATCCCCGCAGGCCCGCCAACTGTGCGGGTTTGTGGCTGGATTCTGGTCACGAGCCACAAAGACTGGAGGCTGGGCTGGCCCCACAACCAGCCTGGGGCAGAGCCCACTCCTGACTCCAGACCTCACTTCTTCAGATGTGGTTTTACAGCCAGAAGGGCAGTCGAGACGACTTCATGAAAAATCATGAGGATTTGCGGTAACGGCTTGTCACTGTCTCAACCTGTCACTCCCTCACACATGCTCCAAGTGGGACGTGTTTGGCCCTGGGACTTGGTTACGGACAGCCTCTGACATAAAAATATCCGGAGTGTGAATCAGACTTCACTCTGCAAAAGACAAGAGCCGCTCTGTGGATCTTTGGAGGTTGCTCTTCCAGTTCTGTAAACAAGAGGCCAGTCAGCAGAGGAACGCCCACACGGGCGTCACCCGCCACCCAGCGAGCTGTGGCCACAGGGCCTTGTGGTCTCCTGTACCCACCAGGCTGAAAACCAGAGCAATTAGCCTCATCTCCAGGGATGCATTACCACTTGAAGAACAACGTTTAATTAATTATTCAAACTTCTCTTGAAATTAATTGGTGCCGTGGCTGGTTCAGATGCCACGTGGTCTGTCCCAGTAAGCCTGCAGCGCTGCAGGGGAACCCCTGGGAACGGGCAGACGCCTCCCCACGGAAGGGGCCCTGGACCAGCCTGACTGCCGTGGACATGATTCCTAACGTGACCGTGCTCCTTCTGCAGCCCCGCGAAGCCCTTCTGCGGGAAGGTGGCGGTCGCTTCCCAGGGTTCCGCCCTGCGGGCGCCCAGCCCCACAGAAAGCACAGAGGGGGCGGGAGTTGGTGAGTAACGGCGGCGCAGTCACGCCTCCGGCTCGTGAACCGTCTCCCAGACGTGACCCAGCTGCAAGACGGCGCATCCATCCCCACAGGGAACGCCACATGGCGAAGGGCCAGTGAGGTCAAGTTCCAATTCGATGCCCTTCTTCCAGGGCACTGAGTGGCTTCAACCCTGGGGAGGGCGCATGGACCGCGCGGTGGAGCCGCCCGCCCCCGCACGCCCGAGCACAGCTGGGTGTGTTCTTCAACATTCTGGGTGACTGTTTCCCACGACCTGCTGACCGAGTGGCAGAACATCTCCAGTGTTACAGGCAGCGTTTACGCTATGTTGTGTCCTGAGACACTCGGTGCAGGTCTCACTGGCTGGGCCACGCCAGTCCGCCACGCTGACGACGGGCTCAGGGGTGAGGGGACCACACAGGGACAGCACCCAGAGCGGCCATGTGCCTTCCCCAGGCTCGTCGTCCAGCACCCCGGAAAGTGACTCACAGGGTTCTGCCGCAAGATGCACCCCCCAACCTCACATCGTCCTCTGCGGCCTGAGGAGGAAGACAAGCCGTTGCCGGCCCCCCCAGAACCCCATCACAAGGCTCCTGCTTAAGGACATCGACCGCCTTTGCCTCCTGTTGTAACAAAGGACACTGGTGACACAAAATCCCCAGCGTGCCTTCAGTCACTATGTCAGGCTCAGTCTGTTTGGTTTCAGGATGGTGGCTGTATTTGGTTGCTTACCAGGCAACCTTCCAAAGACATAAACACAGCCTGGTGTTGCCTAAGAAACAAAAAGGAATAAGATCCCACATCTTTTGCTGAGAGGCCATTTTGAAATTGCGACTGCATTAAGTAAATTGAACTGAGCGGTATTGATTCAGTGCTCAGGAGCAGCGCAGGACTGCCCGCACGCTGAAAACAGTCTAGCTTCTGTATCCAGGATGCTTATGGTCTGGCCAGGTCAGAAGACAGATGAACAGCTCACCTGATTGACGCAGCCAGGAAGGCTCCCTACCAGGTGGCTGCTGAGCTACCCTCGGAAAAGTGCAAACCAGCAAGAGGCCCTCCAGGTGGAAACGCCCTAACAGGTAGAGGCCTCCAGGTGGAACCGTCCCAACAGGTAGAGGCCTCTAGGTGGAAAAGTCCCACCATGTAGACAGCCTCTGGGTGGAAAAGTCCCACCAAGCAGAGGACCTCTGGGTGGAAAAGTTCTTCCAGGTAGAGGGCCTCCAGGTGGAAAAGTCCCTCCAGGTAGAGGGCCTCTGGGTGGAAAAGTCCCACCAGGTAGATGGCCTCCAGGTGTAAAAGTCCCTCCAGGTAGAGGGCCTCTAGGTGGAAAAGTCCCACCAAGCAGAGGACCTCCAGGTGGAAAAGTCCTTCCAGGTAGAGAGCCTCCAGGTGGAAAAATCCCACCAGGCAGATGGCCTCCGCGTGGAAAAGTCCCACCAAGCAGAGGACCTCCGGGTGGAAAAGTCCTTCCAGGTAGAGGGCCTCCGGGTGGAAACATCCCTCCAGGCAGAGGGCCTCCAGGTAGAAAAATCCCACCAAGTAGAGAGCTCCAGGTAGAAACATGCACATTTGGGGTTGGCCTGGGGTGGAAAACTGGGAAGGCAGCTCAGGGCATCAGTGCTAGACACCGGAGAAGTCTGCCTGACACAGCAGGTGCCTCAGGGCACCGGCAGGATCTTTAGGATGGACATGGTGGCAGGAAACTGGAAGGCTGCGGGTGGGTGACATTAGGCTGCTGTGTGTGGCGGCTGCAGGGAGGGAGGAGAGACCCTGCAGGACCTGCCAGTCAAGCGGGACCCACAGGGGCTGCACCTGCGCCAGGTGCGATGCTGAGGAGCCCTGTGACCTGTGGTGGGCTCACCTCGTTTTTTTTACAGAGAACGAATGGTTAGATTCTAAAGCTCCTATAGAATGCAAGCATGAGAATAAAACCACCACAACATATAATTCAAAAAATCAAAGGAAAAAGACATTCCTACCTGTAGCAGATTTTACAATCACACTCATTCTCCTTCTTACTGAGTCAAAACTCAAAATTTCCAGCAATTCAAACCTGAAAAAGAGATCAAAAATTGCTTTTATTACCTATCTGGCTCTTGAAGTCCTGGAACTGGGGAAGCACAGCACTTCCCGGGGCAGAGCGTCTGGGGTGTCCTGTGCCCTGTCCTCATGCCCGCCCCGTCGGGATGCACGGGGCAGGGACTGTGCTCCTGGCGGCTGGGAGGAGGGGGAGGCTGAGGCCAGGTTCCCGCGGGCTCAACCCCGGCCCAAGGTGCCCTGGGAGTCTGTCCACCACACCACCTGCACGTTCACGTCCCTGAGTTCTGAACACGGACTCACAGGCCTATCAGAGCTGGCAATCCCGGCAATACACCAGTGTCCTTAAGTTCATAAAAATCATTTAAGCGAAGAAAACCGATACGCAGGCGGCTCGTACGGTCATTATCAAAGACCATGATTTCTGCTGGCATTTGAAGTACTGACGGTAGTTCAGCCACCCCGACAGACGCCCCCGGAAACTCCTCGGGGTCCAGAGACCCCAGCTGCGGCTAAGGGGGGCGGTGAGCCTCACGGTGCCGGCCGGCTTGCAAGCTGGAGGGGGGCCCGTGCCCCGCTGGGCAGCACCCCGAGGGCGTCCTCCCCTCCGCGGGGGCCCACCTGTCGCCTCGGGTGGAGCCCGGAGCCCGACAGCAGGCGGGGCTCTGCCCTCCGCAGGTGGTCGCGCAGCTCCTGGAGCCGCCAGCGCCCCAGGGACAGCGCCACTGCGCCGACCCAGGACCGGCAGCCAGTCCCAGTCGGGGCTCGCCACCCCTGCCGACGCAGGATCCACATTTCTTAAGGAAACGTTAAAATCCAGGGGTTTTTGCGGCCACGACCACCAAGCCTGACGTTCTCTGCCACCTGTCTTTGCCTGTACCCGTTATCGCAAGTTTATTTAGAAAGGCGAGCCGGAGCCCCGAGCCAAGACTCAAGATATGCCCTCTGTCTCTGGGACCAGCCGTCTCTGACGGACACGGTCACGACACCGAACACATGTGGTTCCTGGAGACAGACGGGAGCCATGAGCATCAGAGCGGCTCAGACTGACTGCAGGGCGTCTGGAGACTGGGGAGCGCGGCGTCGTGGGGCCACTCAGCGCAGACACCCCAGACGCTGCAGGGACGCCCAGAGCCTCATCTGGGACGGCTCCGAGCGAGCGCTCCCGGGGGTGCCACACCGCCCAGCCTGCGGGCGATGCTCCGGGGCCGTCACAGAGGAAGGGGAGGAAGGCATGGGAGTGGGACGGGGGCCTGGGGTTTCCCCACGAAGACCACGGTGAGCAGGAGTCTTTCCACCTGGCATAAACATGCAGTGCGCTCACCTTTCCACGTCGTTCTCCCTATTTAAGATCTCCATGTAGTTGTTCTTCAGCCGCAGGTATGTGAAGCCAAGTCTGCAAAGAGGAGGGCAAATCGGAGCTCAATTTCTAGTTCTGATGCTCCTCCTTCAGACATTTAAGTCTGGGGAAAGCTTTCTTGTCAAGAAAAGTAACTGTGGTAAAACAGAGCTTGCGAACTGAATTACACACTAAGGAGATTAAAATAGTGATTTATTCACCGGCTCAAGAAACTCTCCCAGAGTGAACAGAATTTCTGACCTATCCCGCCCTCGGACTGGTAAGCGTCAGCGGGTTCCAGAAGGACAAGGGCGGGTCTGTGGACTGGCCCCTGTAGGGTTCCCTTCTTGCTTACTGAGCAGTGGGGCTCTTAGCCAGGGTCACCGTGTCACAATTACAAGGACCCTGAGAGACTGTCAGTCTCCAGGACAACCTCTCATTGTACTGATCCGGGAACCATGATCCAGCGCCAGCAGCCAGTCAACAAACGTCCGCAGAGCGTGGACCACATAACCCCCGCTCCTCCACCAGCACACCCGGTGGTGTGGTGCGGAGACAAGGGCGTGGCTCCTGGACGCCAGGAGCTCAGAGATGGGGAGGTGGACGCGTCATCCCCACACAGCTGTGGCCACAATGATGCAAGGGGGCCGTGGGACCGTGGGGACAGGGTGTCCACTCGCCCCAGCTCGAGCTGACAGGCTTCCTGGAGGTGAGTCTACCATGGCTGGCAGGCACAGCCCATCCTAAATTCTGATATATGGTGCACTTCTGAGCGCTCGTTAGGACTGACAAAGACGACTTGCCGTAAAGTGCATCTAAGATTGTCTGCATTTTTAACAGAATTGAGGAGAACCGCCCATTTAAGACTGCGATAAAGAGAATCCACAGCCAGGCATTTACTCCAAACAGACATAAGCAATGCGCCTGAACAAGAATTTAGAACAGTCCTAAGAATGCTGGGCTTGAAAAAAGCATAGAGGACACGGAGAAACCCTGTCTGCAGAGATAAAAGACCTAAAAACTAGTCAGGCCGAAATAAAAAATGCTGTAACTGAGAAGCAGAAGCGACTGGACGTAATCACAGCGAGGGTGAGGAAGCAGAAGACGGAACAGGTGACACAGAAGACGGAATTCTGGAAAATGACGAAGCTGAAAAGACAGCGACGGAGTCCGGCAATAGTAATGGCTGCTTCTCACGCCGGCAGCAGGCTGTGAGCGGGAGGGACCCTCACCCGCCAGCACGGAGGTGGAGGACACGGGGCATGAAGCCTCCACCTGCCCGCCCACCCTGCAGCCAGGGTCCCGGCACAGGGCCACCCCTGGACGCTCCAGGGCCAGCCCACAGTCAGGGGAGACCATGTCGGCACGGCCCCCGCGAGCCACACCCACCCAGGGACCTACCTCTGGACACCCTCGACGAGGGCCACCTCGTCAGGAGAAGACGAGATGTACACACAGGATTTCCCCGAGTCTGGCGACTTCCTCGGGCCGTCCACGTCATCGTCATCCTTCACCTGGATGGTGTGGCACAGACACAGGGCCCGGAAAAACAGCTCTTCTCGCTCCTACACAAGCACGGCACAAAGCCCCCCAGATCTATGCCATATCAGCCTCAAGTACACAGAAAATACGCAGAAGACAGGGAACAATGAAACAGCACATGCCGCCGTGGGCGTCAGGAGCCATGAATTAGGATCGGGTCCGGTGCTCACGGGGAGGAGTGGAAGCGTGGCTTCTCTTCATTCTCCAGCACTTCTCAGCAGGGGAGGTGAGGACACCGGCTCAAGGTCAGAGGAGGTGAACTCGGCATCCTGGAGCCTGGATGCCCTGCGGGGGCCCTGACCACCTTCCCAGGGGCGCTGGGGTGTGGCCGAGGCCCACGTGGGCCAGACCACGGGCCCTCCCTCTGAGACTCTGCCCTGAAAGAGCAGTTTCCACGTGGAAACCGTCTGAGGCAGACGTGGCAGGGGATACGGTGGTGCCCTCGGTCCCTAGGGGATATCACGGCACCACCTGCCAAGGCGAGCTGCCCTGCGTCCCCAGGGGACCCTGCACAGGGCTCTGCGGTCACCAAGGTTTTAGGAATGATCTTCTCACTGACCATGTGACCATGGTGAGGGGTCACAGCACCTCCCGGAGATGCTGAGGTCTGGAGTCACAGGGCTTGGGCGTGTGTGCACGTGTGCCTGTGTGTACATGCGTGTGCATGCGAGCACGTGGGCATGTGTCTGTGTGTGCATGTGTGTACATACAATGCACATGTGAGCATATGGGACATGCATCTGTGTGTGCACACATATGAGGGTGTGTGTGCGTGCACATACATGCTTGTGAGCATGACGGGCATTCGTGTACATGTTAGTGTGTGCACATGCGTGAGGATGTGTGCACATGGGATGGGTCTATGTGCACGTGTGTATACATGCAATACACAGGGGAGTGGGGGCACGCCTGGGTGTGTGTGTGCACATGGGCGCACGTGTCCCTGTGTGTGCATACACATGTGCATACGTGCTTGAGCCGGAGTATGCACACGCGTGTGAGCACAATGGTGTGCACAGCCACTTTGCTCTCAGCCCACTACACGCCCTGACTTCCACATAGCTGTGACCGTGGACTCACGGGCAGGAAATGGTGGCGTGCCACGGTTCCCGACGCGGGTCGCCAGGGGATCCAGGGACACGGGGTGGCGCCGGTCTGCCTTGTGCTCAGGGACCTGGGGACAGCGTGGCGGTGATGGCCCCCAGGGAACACACATGCGGGGGTGCGTGGCCACCTACCCTGGCGCCGGCGCCCGGGGAGGAGTCGATCATGTCGATGCCAAAGGTGCCGGGGAGCACCTGCCCGTTGCACACGGCATGTGGCACGTACACGTGGCCCTCGATGCAGCACTCCTTGAACTCCATGTTGTTCTCCGTGAGCGTACCGGTTTTGTCCGTGAAGATGTACTCGACCTGCGGACACACAGTGCCGCTGTGTGGGGCTGGCCAGGGCTGCATGACCTTGTCAGAGAAGGAGCCACCCGCCGAATCAGAGCCCAGCGCAGCCTCGCTTCCTAACATCAACGTTCCCCACGGGAAGGGGCCTCTCCGGGCGGGCCCCCCACACCGCCGGGGCAGGCGGAACTGCACGCGGGCCGGCTCCCCAGCCTCCTCCAGCGTCTGCCAGGGCTGAGCGGTCCCGATCCAGATGCGTAGGAGGTGTAGGCGAGGGCTTCACGCTCCCCAGAAAACGACGGTTTCCCTGTTGCCTCTCAGTCTACGGATGGAAGCACTGCGTGGAGCTGGTCTGCCGCTTCTCGGAAAGAGAGACTCGGGGCGGGGGGAGTCTTGAATCCTCTCTAACGAGAAAATCAAGGATACAGGGAGGATAAACCCGAACTTACTCTGCAAGGTCTGGGAGGTCAAAGCTCACAGTACCGTTTAGGACACAAGAATCAGAACAACAAAAGGGCAAAACAGATTTCAGACCTAAAACCATACCCAGTGTTAAGCTCTGCACTGGGCCCAATTCCGGTTATGTGTGCATCAGGAGTAACAGTGGAATTCTGGACGATGGAACAGCGGGAGGATGTCCCCATCGGCTGAAACCTGCCCGCTGCCCCCAACACGTGCCCCAGCGCACGCACAGGAGGCAGAGTGTAAGGGTCAAAGTGCAGGAGCGCAGGAAGCAGAAGAGACACACCGGCCAAGTGTTTCACGGTCTGCCTTCTTCACTTAGTCTGAGCAAGATGTTCTCTTTTGTCTTAATCCCTCTGCAGAAAATGCCTTTTCCCTGTGTGCCTGGTTCTACAAGTAAGCTCTGAGGACACAGCAGACGACCTGCAGTCCAAACGCTTGCCCAAAACACCACTGAGCCTCTCCCGTGCTCTGGACAATTAGGAGCAGGGAGCCCACGTGTGACAGGTCCCCGGCATGGTGGCTCTGTTGTTTGAAGTAACTGCCACCTGACTTTTTTCAGAGTGAGGATCAACAATAATAACGAACATCTCGGGAGGCCCCATCTTCTATTTTTTTTTTTAAGATTTTATTTATTTGAGAGAGAGAGAGAGAGCACGCGTGCAGGAGTGGGGGAGGGTCAGAGGGAAAGGGAGAAGCAGACTCCGCACTGAGCAGGGAGCCCGACACGGGGCTCGATCCCAGGACCCCGAGATCATGACCTGAGCCGAAGGCAGTCGCTTAACCGAATGAGCCACCCAGGCGCCCTGGAGGCCCGTCTTCTGAAACAACTTTCCACAAACCTCCAGAACGCTGGTGTTACAAGATAATTTGAGTCAAATTCACTGTACTAACCACTGCTCCACACTTTTCTTGTTACAGAAAGATGCTTTCCTCTAAGAATTTCTCAGGAAGACACAGCATGAACTGTGTACTGTTGCCAAGGATGTGAAATATGCAGACGTAAAGCTATTCTAGTGCCGGGTTGACCGAGTCGGGGTTTCCGTGCGGCTGTCTGGGAGCAGACGATAGCCCGCAGAGCAGCACGTGCCGGAGGGGCGCCCTGAAACCCGTGCTCATCAGTAAGCAAGTTATCTCTCGGTAACAAGTACCCGTGACCCAAGGGGGTGAAGGCAGGGGTTCCCCAGCTGAGTCTGAGCGTCTGTTTACAGACTGACTCTCTGGGGTGGATTTCAGCTGCTAAAACGGCCCTGTTTGTGGGGTGCCTGGCTGGCGCAGGCAGTTAAGCATCCAATTCTTGATTTCATCTCAGGTCATGATCTCAAGGTCATGAGGTCGAGCCCCACGTCAGGCTCTATGCTCAGTGAGGCGTCTGCTGGAGGTTCTCTCCCTCTGCCCCTCCACCCCCCGTGTGCGCACGTTCTCTCCCTCAAATAAATAAAATCTTTAAAATGGCCCTGTTTGCAAAACTACTCCCCCAAATTTCTTACTTTTTTTTTTTTTTTTTAATAAATGAGTGAACTACCGTTTACCAAACGCTCTTCAGGAAAGGGTCAGGGCCAGAGCGGCAGCCTTTCCAGAGCTGGTGTCCCAGGGAAGCAGCACACCACAGCTCTGAGGCCCCATTCAGCACAGGACTGTGGTGGGGCAGGTATACGGAATCACACCCATTTTACAGATTAAGACGCTCAGGTGCACAGAGCTCGGCCACCACTGTCAGCAAACAGCAGGGCTGCAATGAGGTGTCTGAAGTCTGCGATACACCAAGCCACTGGAACGTTGAGGTCTCACTTTGCTCATCTTTAAATCAAGGAAAACTGCTCACTCTGAGTTCAGAGAAGGAAATCCGGCCTAAGAGCTGAGTGCAATGCTTGTAAAGCAGGGACTCACCAAATTTACAGCATTAAAACCCAGAATGAGCACCACTTACCAAGGCCATGGGTGAGCTTGTAACAATCAGCTAACGCAGCTGATTCTGCATAAATTGTATACAGAAAAGCACTATCAATTGTCATATAAATAAAGTATAAAAAATGAACGTGCTGTTGTGTTGCATGAGTTGTGGGATGCATCTCTAGGAATGAATGAAGGTGGAAAACTTTTCATTGGGCCATCCGGATAATGTGCCCCCATGACAGGGATCATTTAGAATCCACATGCCTGGGAACACAACACAGAGGGACGCGATCATCCGCAAATCTGGGAAGAGGACGCTGCAGGTACTGACCTGTCCTAATTCTTCATTTAAATCCGAGGTGTTGACCAGAGGCCCTTCCCCTGTGTCCTCGTCAAACATTTCTTCATCCCAGGTGATGAAATATGAGCCCAGGAACTTCTGCATCTCCACCGTGACGTACATGGACACGGGGATGATGTAGTTGAAGAGGACCATGAAGGCCAGGAAGTCCGTGAACGCCCTGAGGAACTGAGAGAGCACTGTGTGATTTCCCGCACCCCCTTGCCAGCATCTCAGAGTTCTGCTCGGATTGCACTGGTGGCCATTTATAAATACAGGCGCTCTCTAAAGACAGGACACTGTGCTGGGTTCTGGAAGCGTTCATGCTGCACCCCTCATGAATTCACTGTGGGAGCCAATCCCTTTCCAGACCGTACAAGCAAATACCCAAGTAAGACAGCAGCAACCAGGGAAGGAGGCAATGGATGCACCTTCCAAATCTCTATTGCGAAGATGTCATCAGTCAAGACTTCACATTCTCCTGCCACATTTTCCTAACAACGGCCCCCAGGGTGTCTCTGATCACTGCAAAGGGGGGCACGTTCCGTACCAGGTTCCTCTGTCTTTCTGACTCGGTTTTCTGATTATACCACGGCTCGTCCCGGAACGGTTCGCTCTGCCACACGTACTTCAGGACGGTGTTTATCAGCGCTTTACTGATCAGAATGCAGAGGTACACAATGAGGAACACGTTCATGGATCTAAAACACAAGACAGCAACGATACTTAGTGATTGCTTGCTGAAGAACCCTTCTCACCCGTCAAGACAAACATACCGTGAAGACACAGAGCAACGTGTTTTAAAGGAGCCCCCCACCATCTGCTGGCACAGTAAGAACGAGAACAGAAGCTCGCATGTATCTGAGTTCCTCCCGTGACCACAGGCGTGTGCTTCTAGGGGCCACAGGGAAAGTTTTAAAAACGGGAGAGCGGTGCACGCAGCCACACTGCTGACCGCGTGGTCTGGGAGTCAATGACTTAGGACATCCAGAAGTCAAGTCTTCTGCCATGAAGTGTCAGCCAGGGAGTGCCAAATTTAGAGATTACCACCAGGGAAGGAGGGAGGGAAATGCCCTCTGAACTGGAAAATTACTGAATCCCTGGCCAATGTCTTAGCGGATCTTGTGGAGAAGGCCTGATTTTCCAGTATCTATTTCTGAAACCTATTCATCAGTGTAGACATCTAGAAACAAATCACTCTTGCTTATTGAGAGCCAAATCTCCATTTTCACATCTGGTACAGCTGTCAACGGACAGAGAGACCCGTGATCGCACTGAGAGTAACTTGCTGAGTGCAGGCAGAAGTGACCCTCACAGTCTTCCCAAAGATCCCCAAGTCCCGCATAGCTCTGTATTAAGTAACTTATAACCACTTCAATTCAGGGATACACATGAACAAAAGGCAAGTAAGACAAAATTCTGGGCCACGTTTTCTCACAAATTCAACTCTATACTTGGTTTATCATAGTACAGATTTTACCGTTTCGTGAAAAGAACACTGTTTTCTCTGTTCATGCTTTCCTCAGGAAATAACCCAAAGCTAAAAGTGACCCAATTTTGACGTTTTCATGAATCGGCAAGAGGAGCTGTCAGGACTTTAGCCATCCGCACAAGGGAGCCTGCAGACGTGGGCTGAAGGTGTGTGGTCACTTGTGTCCCTGCAGAACAAGACTGTCTATCTGACACCCAGTGTGACCAGCTCCCTAGAGACCACGACGGAATTACTAATGGAGCCAGAAGGAAAATGCTTTCACGTCTATAGGGGCTCATGATGGTTTTAGGTCATGGAGCTTTACGCACTTCAAAGGGGTCCCGAGACTCACTTTTCTACAGCAGATCGTTTCTGGGATTTCGACTGATAATTTAATGCCATCTTGGTTTCCATGCCTGTGTAAATAGCAACACCTGTAAAGCAGAAAAGTCAACGTTAGAACTATCACACAGGCAGATCTCGCCTTCACATAGGAAGTCACACACAGCAACAGTAAAACTGAATTGTGGACAAATCATATTTTAAATTTCATTAGGCAAACTAGCTGTTCATAAAAAGAGTCCCACAACAGGATTCTTCAGACTAAAGAAATACTTTTTTTTTCCTGCATGGAGATTAATCTCTTTTTCTTGAAGATTAGATTTTACTATATTGGGTTTTCTGAAACAGGGCACACATGCATACTTTTAAATTGTCTCAATTAAAAGACAAAAATAACCCACAGAGACGGGAGATACTACCAGAGAAATGCAGCCTTTAAAAGAAATCTCCTGCGGAACTGTGTTGTGTGAGTTCTCTCATGGACATAAATTTATGTTTCTGAGTCAGAAACCGCAGACACTCAATACGCAAGCAACCCTCAAACACCACTGCCTCGTGGGTGGTGGTGATTCGCCAGGATGGGTTTTCTTCGGCTGATGACCCCTGCCACAGGGCCCAGCTCAGAGCACGGCGAGACGCGTTCACGGCAGCACGACGGACTTTAACTGCTCAATGCACCCTTAATTTTAGAAGCTGTTAGTAATGATTCACTGAGACACTGACCAAAAATCTTCTCGGTGTTCTTCAGCGTGGCTCCTCTGAGAAGCAAGTTCTCCGACCCCAGGGGCCTGCAAAGATAGGAGGAGCAGAGTAGGGCAAGGGGGCGACAGAAGCAGGTACTCGAGGGTGGGAAACCAAGGCCTGTGCCTAACAGACTCGGTTTCAAGAGGCGATCATTTAAACGTGGAGTAGCTTATATTTGGATTACGAAAGTTAGCCTGGCTCCGTGTGAGAGTGTGGCCTCTGCCCTGGGAGGTAAGACCTGCTGTGCGGAAGGACCCAGCGGGTGGCTCTTCAAGGTGCCCGCTCTCTGGCGGGGCCTTGTCAGGAATGCGGGCTCCCAGCCCACCCAGACCAACTGAAGGGCCCCGAATTTCTGAGAAGGTGGTGTGTGACTCAAGAGGATTCAGCTGTTCCCAGCACATCCTCAGGGAGACTCCACGAGTCTTGCGAGATCCGGTCTTACTTTCAAATATGGGAACACCATGTGCATTCATCCACACGGCAGTCAAATGCACAAGGACCCTCTGCACGCAGGTGGCCTCCAAATCTGGAACCTCCCTTGCACCTGCTACTTCGGGGCAGCAACAACCAAGGAAGTTAAAGATCACTCATGAAGAACAAGCAGGCCCTAAGCACTCAAGACTCAACAGTGAGCAACAGACCACGTCTCTGCCTTTCGGGGTTCGTGTTCTTGGGACTCCCCTGTTGGTGGATTCCTCATTGCTTCTCATTTCCCAAGAGCAGAAGAGAGTAAGAAGCAGAATGCAACTCTGCAATGTTGCTGCTATATCAGCATTCTACTGATTCCGTTTGCAGGGTGAAGGGACCCATGCTCTTGCCTTTTCAGTGCACGAAATGTCCCATCACCACAGTAAGTGCAGAGCCTACTGAACGCCACAGACTTAGGCGTGCTCCGTCTAGTCAGCTGTCGCAGCTCGGGGCCAGATCCGGCTGAGGACGAGGGCGGGAGGCTGCTGCCCCAGGGGACACCTGACCCGGCGCGTCTGCCCAGGGCAGCTCCACGGTCTTGGCTCCCATGCAGGGCCTAAGTGCCACAGACGCTCAGGGGCTGCCCACTCGCTGTCGGTCCTCTCACAGGGACTGCAGCCTCTGCAAGCTTACAATGCCCATTGAACATGCTTATGAAAACAAATGGCCCTTTTTAAAAGTGTCTTTGAGGGCGCTCGTGTGGCTCAGTTGGTTTGGCGACTGCCGTCAGCTCGGGTCACGATCCTGGAGTCCCGGGATCGAGTCCCGCATCGGGCTCCCTGCTCGGCGGGGAGTCTGCTTCTCCCTCTGACCCTCCCCCCTCTCATGTGCTCTCTCTCA